TAATCCCATCCCTACCAGGGAACTAGTGTGAGGGGAGACATGTGTGATGAGAATGTTTGTGTGATTCCAAGTTCGCATTTACTTGGAGCTATTTACCTGGAACATTTATAGCCCACATACTACCCGGTTACTACCCTTTGGCAATCAAAAACTGCAATCACTGCAGTCCATTTTTTTGGATGGGAAATGAGGGATTTCTGCGGATTTTCCATTGCCAGGTTAAATTAGCAGAGGGTAAGAATGGATGCTCAAGGTTTCAGGGCTGGGCCGAAATTCCTTGGAAAACCCAAGCTGCCTCCCCCATTGCAAGGTGGGCCCAGGAACCTTTGAGCGGAAGGATGTGTCCATTGGACCCCAACATTTGTCGAAGCGAAGAAATCTCTCCACCTACTCCTTTGCCCGCGGCCCCAAATTTGGCCGGGAAGAGAGTGCGGATGATGTGTCTTGGTTTACTGAAAGGGTTTTCGGGCCATGATTTGAGGCATGGCCTTGGGGTCCTTGGTGAAGATGAAATTGACATGCGTGACTAGGAGATAGTATCGTAAGATTGTTTTTTTGGGGCCCAAGAATCCCAAGGAGCTGTTCCTTTGGAAATTCCAAGATGTATGCGCACTAACAGAAGCATCAAAATGGGACTGTTGATCACGAAGCATGTGATGCTGATCGGCAGAATTAGAATCTTAGCCAAGAAAGAAAGCACAAACATCAGCTGCCACGCCTTTTTCATTAGGTCAGTTATAATTATAACGACATCGCCACAGTGTCGCCAGAAAGGATGGTTTGCAAGGGTAACTGTTCCAAAATTGCCCGATATGTCAGGGTGGTGCAAGACTATAACTACATTCATAAATATCCATGAGTCCATGAGTAATCAGAAACCCAGTGGATATGCACACGCACAAGATATCACACATACATGCATACATACATACATACGTGCGTACGTACGTACATACATACCTACATAGATACGTACATACATAAACCACATGCATTACAGAGGTACATACATACATGCATCCATGCATACATCCATCCATCCATCCATCCGTCCATCCATCCATCCATCCATCCATACATACATAGATACCATACATGCCATGCATACCATACATACCATACATAACATACATACCATACATACATACCATACATACCATACATACCATACATACCATACATTACATACACTACATACATTACATACACTACACACGTACATACATACATACATACAGACAGACAGATAGACAGACATGTATACATGCATACATGCATACATGCATGCATGCATGCATACGTACATACATACATGCACATATACACAGACAAGCATAGATATAGATACATATATAACATATATTTTTTGCATTTAAAACTACATATACACATATGTATACGTATGCATACATACATACGTACGTACGTACGTACGTACATACATACATACATAGACACATAGACACATATACACATACACATACACACGCACACACACATATATATATATATAACATGTTTATTTGCATATAAAAATTCATCTACACATATGTATACGTATACATACATGCATGCATGCGTACATACAAACATATACATATACAAATACGTATACATATACATATACATATATATATACATATATATATATATACATATACATATATATAGATAAGGATATAGATACAGATAGATGTCTTCAAAAATAACCATGGTTGTGGCATGTTATGGCATAGTTTTCACCCTCTTCCGGCCCAGGTGATCTCCAAATACGACGCGGCTCGGAGCTGCTTCGGGAAACAGGTGCTGCACAAGAACCGCAGCGCACCCAGTGTGGGCTTCAACCACGATACCCGCGACATGCGTGCGAAGACTAAGGCGGGCGGAGTAGCCGTTCACTATCGTATCCGAATCATGGAGATTTCTGAGTGTTTTTCCCGAGAGCGTCTGAGCGAAGGGTTCTTCTAATAGTGGGGGTCTGTCAAACGTTTTCACATCTTCTCATTTTCACATCCTCACATCTTCACATCTTCTCATCCTCACATCCTCACATCTTCACATCTTCTCATCTTCACATCCTCACATCTTCACATCTTCTCATTTTCACATCCTCACATCTTCACATCTTCTCATTTTCACATCCTCACATCTTCTTATTTTCACATCCTCACATCTTCACATCTTCTCATCTTCACATCCTCACATCTTCACATCTTCTCATTTTCACATCCTCACATCTTCACATCTTCTCATCTTCACATCCTCACATCTTCACATCTTCTCATTTTCACATCCTCACATCTTCACATCTTCTCATCTTCACATCCTCACATCTTCACATCTTCTTATTTTCACATCCTCACATCTTCACATCTTCTCATCTTCACATCCTCACATCTTCACATCTTCTTATTTTCACATCCTCACATCTTCACATCTTCTCATCTTCTCATCTTCACATCTTCTCATCTTCACATCTTCAGATCTTGACATCCTCAGATCTTCACATCTTCTCATCTTCACATCCTCACATCCTCTCATCTTCACATCTTCACATCACATCTTCACATCTTCTCATCTTCACATCTTCTCATTTAATTTTCACATCTTCACATCCTCACACCTTCACATCCTCACATCTTCACATTTCCTCTTGCCCTCTTGGTCTCTTGCCCTCTTGCTCTCTTGCCCTCTTGCTCTCTCCTTCTTTTCTATTTCTCTCTTGCAGGCGCGGGGCAGTGCCAACGAGACGGCACGAAACGCAACCCTTTCGCACGAAACGAGGTTCGATCGCCAAAAACTGAGGTAAAATTGCGATTTCACGCATCTGGTCGCAACCCTAAATTTCGCTTCTGTATGGTGTGTGCAAAAGTGTTTGCGTGTAAAAGCTTCTAATGTGTCAAAGCGTCTGTGTGTAAAAGCTTTTGTGTGCAAAAGCCTCTGTGTGTGAAAGTGTTGGTGTGTAAAAGAATCTGTGTGTGTAAAAGTGTCTGTGTGTAAGCCTCCGTGTGTAAAAGTCTCTGTGTGTAAAAGTCTCTGTGTATAACAGGGTGGTCCCGGTTCGTTTTTGGCGATTTCGATTCGATTTTTTATAGAAGGAATTGACTTCGAGAGAATTGGTTTTCGATTCCGCCTAGCGCGATTCGATTCCGATTCGATTCGGAACGATTCGAGGTCTGCGGGGAGTATGGTCGTTAGTAAGGGATTCTTGATTAATATCAATTCGTTAGCTTGCGATTCAATCTTTGATATGGATTCGTCGTTGAATTTCGATTCGATAGCTTGCGTTTCCATTTGTGGTTCGATTCGATAGCTTGCGGTTCTTTTTCAATATATATATATTTATTTATTTATTTATCTATATATACATACAAATATATACATAAGGAGACATACATACATATATTAATAAATATATGTAGATATTAATTTATATATGAATATATATTTATATATTTAAATGTATACACATAATATATATATATTCATATATAAATATAAATTTTTACATTTTATTCATATATAAATATACGTGTTTACATTTCTGAAACAAAAGCAGCTTCTCGCAGCCTTTTCGGGCGGCGGGCCGCGGCGATCCCTAGGAACGTTGGATGTTTGACAGGCGTGGGAACATTTGCGCGCTGTCAAACTTGTGTGGAATTCTTTCCTATGATGCACACAATATTTTTTGTATGACCCTCGGATATCCAGGGCAAAATTCACAGTTTCAGACCTCCAGAAGGGTCAGATTATGCTATGTAGGCATGTAGGTACTTAGGTACGTAGCTATGTATGTATGCATGTATGGATCTATGTGTTTGTGTATATGGATGCATAGGGTTCAAGGCTTGGTACGTAGGCATGTGGAATGCGACAGACATGGAGCCGTAATTCTACAAATTTAATTATGATGCCAATAATATCGAATTCACATCCCGTGTGCCCCCGAATACAATGGACGGCGATGGAAAAGTGAGTTTATGTCAAACAAACAGTCTTCTGTATGGTTGGCTCTCCTCTTCCCATTGGACACAATTGAAGCCTCGGATGTGGTTTCAGACCAGTTTCATACCAGTTTCAGACCCCCAGAAGGGACATGTTTGGAATGCAAGTATGTAGGTTAGTTTGTTTTCCGGACTCAATCCGGACTCCACAACCAGAATGCAGGATTCATCTCCTTTTCGTTACCATTCCTCCTCTGATCTCTCTTGTCCTAGATGCGGATGGCTGAGGCTGCTCGTGATGCTGGACCATACAGTCACTGCGTCAGGAAAGCTCTCTGATTGGAGCCTGGGCCCACACGGGAAGGAAGTCCTTGCAAGCCTCTTTCAGATTCATTTCAGACACATTTCAGACTTATTTCAGATTCATTTCAGAGCTATCTGCAGGCAGTACTTTGGGTGAATTCAATGTCCCAGCTCTAGCTGAAACCCCACAAGTGCTCTGACAATTCCGGAAGGAATCCGGACTCTACTGCCAGAATGCAGGATTTGTTTCTTTTTTGGTAACCATCCTCATATAGCGGCATTGTGTTTTGCAGATTGTGAATCTTGAGCAGAAAACGGGCAGCAATGTAGGCGATGTCAAGCAGAAAGTAGGTAGAAAGTAAGTTCGGACATGAATCTCTTGCAGCGAATCCGGACCGAATCCGGACCGAATCCGGGCCCGACAAGCAGAATCCATTGATTTGTTTCTAGCCGGTGAACATCTCAAATAGCAGCCATGTGACCTCCACACAATGAGCGTGGTTAAGCACCCTTCCTCCTCTGATCTCTCTTGTCCTAGATGCGGATGTCTGAGGCTGCTCGTGATGCTGGACCATACAATCACTGCGTCAGGAAAGCTCTCTGATTGGAGCCTGGGTCCACACGGGAAGGAAGTCCTTGCACAAGTCTCCTTCAGGTTCATTTCAGTCACATTTCAGACACATTTCAGATTCATTTCAGAGCTATCTACAGGCGGTACTTTGGGTGTCAATGTCCCATCTCTAGCTGAAACCCCACAAGTGCTCTGACAATTCCGGAAGGAATCCGGACTCTACTGCCAGAATGCAGGATTTGTTTCTTTTTTGGTAACCATCCTCATATAGCGGCATTGTGTTTTGCAGATTGTGAATCTTGAGCAGAAAACGGGCAGCAATGTAGGCGATGTCAAGCAGAAAGTAGGTAGAAAGTAAGTTCGGAGATGAATCTCTTGCAGCGAATCCGGACCGAATCCGGGCCCGACAAGCAGAATCCATTGATTTGTTTCTAGCCGGTGAACATCTCAAATAGCAGCCATGTGACCTCCACACAATGAGCGTGGTTAAGCACCCTTCCTCCTCTGATCTCTCTTGTCCTAGATGCGGATGTCTGAGGCTGCTCGTGATGCTGGACCATACAGTCACTGCGTCAGGAAAGCTCTCTGATTGGAGCCTGGGTCCACACGGGAAGGAAGTCCTTGCACAAGTCTCCTTCAGGTTCATTTCAGTCACATTTCAGACACATTTCAGATTCATTTCAGAGCTATCTACAGGCAGTAGTTTGGGTGTCAATGTCCCATCTCTAGCTGAAACCCCACAAGTGCTCTGACAATTCCGGAAGGAATCCGGACTTTTTTGCCAGAATGCAGGATTTGTTTCTTTTTTGGCATATATTACTACAAATATAGATACATACATAAGCACCTACATACCTACATATGAGCCACGAGATACTTCGGAGCTCTAGCTTCCTAGGGTTTCCAAGTGGTTTCAAAGCAGTTTCAATGTTTTGTTTCCTCTTTGGTTCGAATTAAAAAAATCTGGTAGATGCAGGTTTGAGTTAAAAACACCTACATACCCAAGCTACACAGATACATACGTACATACCTACATACGTACATGAGTGCAGCCGCAATTCGGTAGTATTGGAATCGTAATTGGATCTGCCGAATTACAATTCCAATTTAACCGAATTAAAAACGCCTACATACAAAAGCTACATTGATACACACATACACACCCAAATACAAATCAAGTTTTAGGCTGCATTTTGGAAAAATAGCATGCATGATTGGCTCACCCTTCCCTCCCTCTCTCTGTATGTGTGTATGTAAGTATGTAATGTATGTGTGTGTATGTATGTATGTATGTATGTAGGTAGGTAGGTAGGTAGGTAGGTATGTACGTACGTATGTATGTATGTCTGTATGTACGTACGTACGTATGTATGTATGTATGTATGTATGTAAGTCTGTATGCGTGCATGTATCTAACTATTCTATGTAAGTATGTATGCATGTAGGTCCGTCTTTCTGGGAAAAGTTTCTGTATGATTGGCTCTGCCTTTCCCTTTCCCTTTCGATGGGGTTTCAGACAAGTTTCAAACCTGTTTCAGACCCTCAGAAGGGACATCTTTGGAATGCAGGTATGTAGCTATGTAGTAGGTATGAAGGTATCTCCGTAGGTATATATCCATGTGCGTGTGCGTGTATCAAGCGAGTTTTGTCCCGTAGGTTGCACATATGTTTCCGTTGCACCCGCGAAAAGCTTATAGAGCAGAGAAGGTAGTTGAAATCTACCTGAACTCAGCATGTCTGCTGTATACGGCTAGTATACGGCTCATCTTGGTCAAGCCCTAGTCTTGACTTGAACTCAGCATGTCTGCTGTATACGGCCTGTATACGGCCAGTATACGGCTCATCTACAGGGCTTGACCAAAATGAGCCGTATAATAGCCGTATACAGCAGAAATGCTGAGTTCAAAGGAGTTCCAGAGCTTGACCAAGATGAGCAGTATACCGTATACCAAATTCGATTCTACATTCATGATGTAGTTGAAAACTACCTGAAACCAATTACATGCGTACCTGGAGCCGCGTTTGTGGCCAAATGGTAACTTTGGGGTCAAGGCAGCAACCAGCAAAGCAGCCTGGCAGGTACCTGGATCGCCTCCTTCCTTCTGACTCTCCACCAACACTTGGTGCACAGTGCGGGTGCGCTCGCTAGCTTAGCTTGCGTTTGGTTGAGGATGCATACCAAAGATCCGAAGCGGACAATAACAACTATGTCCGTTGGTATTTGCCATTGCCTACCAGATATATAGATCATATGGGTTGCAATTTTACCGATGGTATCTTTTGGCCCTTGGCGTTCCAGGGCAGGTGTTGGCCATAATGATGATGCAATCGCCCGCTTGGGACTGACGGACGTGAATCATAACCTGCAGGCATCGGAGGCATCACGGGGATATGTCATGTCCACTGATGGTATATAATGTATGCCTCTTTCAACATCACGGGGATATGTCACGGGCATAATGTATGATAATGTATATTAAGTTTCTTCCAGTTATGCTTCAGTTGCATTCCCGGACGAAATTCGATAGTAGGATTGGTTATATACACACATGCATACATACCAACCTACGTACCTACCTAGCTACCCAGCTACATATCTACACACCAAACCTGTCCCTTCTAGGGGTCTGAAACTACTTTGAAACTAGTCTGAAACCTGTTAAAATCTTCAAATGTGACTTGGTGGGGGCAAGATACATACAGAGATGGAAATCATGTTTGCCCTTGGAGTTCCAGGGTTCATAGCCAATCGTCCGTACCCTCATAGTTATATAGTTCAATTAGCCTTGTGGACTTTGTTGTTCAAATTCCACCTTCTTGTTGCAGCAGGATAGTTTTCATGGTTATGGGTCGAATTTGCGTGATTTCCCAATAGATTGAATTCCTCATCGTTCGTATTTTAGATTTGTCTTCACATCCCTGGCCATGTAATTTAACCGTTACCATGTCTTGGCCGCGCCAGGAGCAAGATCCAGGCTATAACGTGGTCCGCTGATGTAGAGACGGAAAAGGGCCGTGATGGATACTGGCGGCTGGCTGGTGCATTTTTGAGAAATATCGTCGATCAAACTCTGAATTCAATCACTCAGGATAAACTAGAAGAATATGAAGTCCCTCCAATTTTGGTTTCCCTTATTGTATTCATGCACCCAAATTCACACATAGATCCAAGAAATTTATAGAAAGATTTGATAAGAAAATAATATTTAATTTATTGAATCATATTTGACCGTTTATCTACTACTTGGTCACGGCGCTTGTATAAAACTGAGTTCGTATTTTATTAAAGCTTGCATAGTAAGATAGTATGCAATAATTATCTCAAGCACTTGCGTGGTTCAAGACAATACAAACATACAAGAACTATATATATGATCCCGGGTATGCATGGCCCCGATTCCCGTCGATTCGGTTCCCGTTGAAAATCGATTCGTGGCGATTCGGTTCAAACAACCGACCGATTCATGTTTGATTCGATTGTTAATTATTGCCGTGTTCAGGTTCCTTAAAATCCTGGTCGATTCAATCCGATTCGATTCCAAACGATTCTATTTTTCCGATTCCGGACCGGTTCGGTTCCTTATGTGCAGCGGTTTAGGTTCCTGAACCGTTTTGGAACCATCCTGGTATAAAAGTCTCTGTGTGTAAAAGCGTCTGTGTGTGTAAAAATGTTTGTGTGTAAAAGCGTCTGTGTGTAAAAGTGTTTTTGTGTAAAAGCTTCTATGTGTCAAAGCGTCTGTGTGTAAAAGCTTTTGTGTGCAAAAGTCTCTGTGTGTGAAAGTGTTGGTGTGTAAAAGCGTCTGTGTGTAAAAGTGTCTGTGTGTAAGCCTCCGTGTGTAAAAGTCTCTGTGTGTAAAAGTCTCCGTGTGTAAAAGCTTCTGCGTGTAAAAGCGTCTGTGTGTAAAAGTTTCTGTGTGTAAAAGCGTCTGTGTGTAAAAGCTTCTGTGTGTAAAAGCTTCTGTGCGTAAAAGCGTCTGTGTGTAAAAGCTATTAAAAGCTGCTGAATCTTCTGTAGGTAAAAGTCTCTGTGTGCAAAAAGCTTCTGTGTGTAAAAGCGCTTGTGTGTAAAAGTGTCTGTGTGTAAAAGCGTCTGTGTAAAAGTGTCTGTGTGTAAAAGCTTCTGTGCGTGAAAGCTTCTATGTGTAAAAGCGTCTGTATGTAAAAGTGTTTGCGTGCAAAAGTGTCTGTGTGTAAGCCTCCGTGTGTAAAAGTCTCTGTGTGTAAAAGTCTCCGTGTGTAAAAGCTTCTGTGTGTAAAAGCGTCTGTGTGTAAAAGTTTCTGTGTGTAAAAGCGTCTGTGTGTAAAAGCGTCTGTGCGTAAAAGGTTCTGTGTGTGAAAAACTATACAAAGGATACGATGCAAACTATTGTCATGTACATGTAATATATTGTCTTGATACTACTCTTCTCGTCTGCCTATAATACACCTTTAATATATTGTCTTGTAATATAGTGTCTCAATCCTAACAACAGAAGACCCTGCTCCTCTATGCTCTCGGACCATCCGTCGTCTAGTTTTAAAAGGGTTGCGCCCCAAGTAGGGATGGTTTGCTGTTGGAATGCCTTCAGTACTTCAGTACTGAATTTTGGTCGAATTCGGTTTGGTTTTTAAGATAGCTTTCTGTTTCTGAATGGGGAGTTCGAAGGGTTCACCCTGGAATGTACCACCGGAAAGAAAACCCTCGACGTTTTAGAAGGGGATGAGCCAGGTGTGCATGACGAAGTTGGACGAAGGCCCAAAGGCGAATTTCAGCAAGTTGCAGATCCGCATGCCTCCGCTGCCCATGGAGAAACACGTCTTGGCCAGTGGATTTGGATAGTTAAAAACTGCCGAAATTGACGGGTCGGGTGAAATTCATATTTTGTGAGGTAGGCCAGGGAATCATTCAAGAATGGTTTCGTATGTTTTGTTTTCCCCGGTTTAGGGAATATGATCGTTTGCCCAGATGGATTGCGTGGTTGCCTGCCACGAAGCTGCTACGGAGGAGGAAACGTCACATTTGAGGAGACAAGTGCGACCATGTCATGCAACATCCTAAAATGTCATTGAGATCACTAATGTTATTCATGCGCCGCGAACCTTGGACTCCTGATACAGTAGGATCAGTAGCGGGGCTATGCCCAAAATATCGCGAATCGCATCAATTATGGGCCGATTCATTCTTGGGCACCAGGGTTTGCGGCAGCAAAACGAACAACAATGCCAGTGATTCGCCTGGAGCAAGACTGAAACTCTTCGCTTTGCTCCTCGGTACCTTGCTGCCAGCGCAACGTCCAGACAGGAGGGCCCAAAGTTGGCAATGGCTGTGGTGAAACCACCGCAGATTCAATCAGTCGTCCCATGTGATGTTGCTGAACCTGGAATCGAAAGCGAGGGTGTTTAAAAGTTGAAGCAGTCACAAAGTGACATCAAACGACATGGAGTGGATTGTAATTCAGGGGGTAGGTGCCCTCACAGACCAAGAATCAACCCAATTTAAGCTGCAATGCGGGGAAGCTGGGGGTTATTGATCTTGGGTTAGCTACAGAGGCCAGGGCCGCAACCGCCACATGGTGCAGGTTTCACACGTCACATTGCTAGAGCTGAACGTGGATTATATAGATGAGAAAATGTTGCTTGCGTCTGGGGTCGGCATTAACACACAGGTTGTCGATTTCGAAGGGTTGATGCCAGAAAAGCATTTGGTTTTATCTGTCGATGTAGGGAGGTTTTCTGTGTAGTTTCCCTTCCCTTCCCGCAATCAAACATGGCAATCGCAAATCCACAAGCTATAGATGACTTTCCTTGTTAAACCCAAACCTCCATTTTTATTTCGGGGAGTTTTCAGCCACATTTGAAACCAGAGGGTATAGCAAATCAACTGTGCATCCCTTGGCCGGCACCTAAACTTGCACCATATTTTAATGTTGGAGCCCATGGGTTGAAGTCCTCCAGAGGCTTCATCTCATTGTTTTAGAAAATCAGTTTCGCTTTTGATTCATAAACGTAAATCTGAGCTACATCTTGTCTTCCTTGAAATCCATTTGAAAAACGATTGAAGTCATACTGTTGGAGAGATACCTTATCATAACTTATCCCATAGAATATGCCGACCAATCACATGGTTCAACACCCCCAGGGTGGGTCATGTGCATTTCGACTGTGCAGGCTCGCACAAAACGTAGGCCTAAGTGCTAGGGCGCGGCATTAAATGGCTCTTGTGACATGTCCATGTGCATTTCGACCTGGGCAGGCTCGCACAAAACGTAGGCCTAAGAAATGGGGTGTGGCATTTTTCCGGAGAATTCTCGCATGAAATTGCTCTTGTGACATGACCACGTGCAGTTCGCTGCACACGCTCGCACAAGTCTGCGTAAATGAAATTTGACCCATATTTGCATGGCACGGTTGTGACATTGTGGCTTGTGGCTGGAACATTGCTTTCCTGGACAAGTCGATTCCGACATGTGCAAGGGGGCAACGACAAGTTTCCTTTTCATGTGTTACAACATTAACACACATAGGCCAACGTGATTTCGTTTCGAGCATATTCTGCTTTGCTTCCTTTTGCTGGATCCGAAGCTATGGTGGAGGAAACCCTGGCGGCGTTGCTGGGGACTGCACATACAACTCTTCAAACTGATCTGGGACATCTTGGCTCATGTGTCTCAAATGGCTTTGCGGGTGCGCAGGCACGGGCGATGTTGGGAGGTCTTTCCTCGACGGGCAGCATGCTGGAACGCAGGCATGAACCCTAAACCGGGTCAGAAGCATCTGACGAACGAAGAGCTTAAGGCGCTAAATGGCAGGGAGCTTACAATATTAGCAAACGAAGCTGCGGTTGCGCGCTCTCTGTCCAATAGTCTGGGGAAGAGACATTATGGATCTGCCGAGTCTTCAGCCGCGCTTTGGCAGTCAGTGGCAATGTGCCGGGACATGGCCTTTGCAAAAGTTCTTGCCCTTTCCGTTGCGGTTCCGCGCGGTGTGTTATTCTTCATTGTGCCCTTTGCGCAGCCTGGCTGGCATCCAAAAACCTCTGGTGTGCTTCGAGCTCTGCTTCGCGAATGGAAAGTATGCGTTGAGCTTCTTCGCTGTGTCACATGCCTGTTGTCGGTTTCCCTACCACGTTACCATCCGATCCCCTTCCCCACACTGTTTGGGGTCTCTTGCCAGTGCAATATTTTGAAGAAATCTCGCAGACTTGCTTTGTTTTGGACCTGTCAAACCTCCACTCTTGCAGGGAGTCTTGCAAAATTGCTTCCTTGCAGATAGAAAGATAAATGGATGAACGGATGGATGGATAGTAGAGAAAGAGATAGAGATAGAGATGGAGATAGTAATAGGGATATAGTTAAAAAGAGAGAGAGAGAGACTGAGAGACTGAGAGAGAGAGAGAGAGAGAGGGAGAGAGAGAGAGAGAGACAGGGAGGGAGAGGGAGGGAGGGAGCGGGCCGGGGGAAAAGAAGGATACAGAGATTGGAAGGGATTGACAGGGAGACAGATACATGGATAGAGAGCTAGATGGATAGGGTGAGAGATAGAGATAGAGATAGAGATAGATAGATAGAAAGATAGAAAGATAGAAAGATAGAAAGATAGAAAGAAAGAAAGAAAGAAGTATAGATAGATAGGTAGATAGGTAGTTAGGTGGGCAGATTTAGATAGATGTAGATAGACGTAGATAGGTAGATAGATGTAGATATATAGGTGTAGATAGATGCAGACAGATGTAGATAGATGTAGATAGATGTAGATAGATGTAGATAGATGTAGATAGATGTAGATAGATGTAGATAGATGTAGATAAATGTAGATAGATGTAGATAGATGTAGATAGATAGATGTAGATAGATAGATGTAGATAGATAGATGTAGATAGATAGATGTAGATAGATGTATATAGATGTAGATAGATGTAGGTAGATAGATAGATAGATAGATAGGTAGACAGATAGACAGACAGATAGATAGATAGATAGACAGGGAGAGAGAAAGACAGAGAGAGAGAGAGAGAGAGAGAGATACAGTAGGTAGGTAGATGAATGACAGACAAACAGATAGATAGATAAATAGATAGATAGATAGATAAATAGACAGGGAGAGAGAAAGACACAGAGAGAAGAAGACAGAGAGAGAGAGAGAGAGAGAAAAGAGATACAGTAGGTAGGTAGATAAATGACAGACAAACAGATAGATAGATAAATAGATAGATTGATTGATTGGTTGATTGGTTGATAGATTGATAGATTGATAGATTGATAGATTGATAGACAGATAGATCGATAGATAGATAAATGGATGAATAGATAGATAGATAGACAGACACAGAGAGAGAGAGAGAGAGAGACAGACAGAGTTCCAGATAGAGAGTCAGCAAGATAGATTTACCGATAGACAAGGAGACAGATGGATAAAGACAGAGAGGGCTGGAGAGAAGGAAGGAAAGAACGAGAGAGAGAGAGAGAGAGAGAGAGCGAGCGAGCGAGCGAGAGAGCCAGAGCCAGAGCCAGAGCCAGAGCCTCAACCACCTTTCGGTTCATCACCGTTCATCCATCGCAACAGTTCACCTCCCGTATCTATCTTGGAAACTTCCGGCACGAATTGTGGGCGGTACTACTGCGTCTAGGGTTATAACCTACTTAGTAAGTGGGATGAGATGGGATGAGCCACCAAGTAGCTATCTTAGTTCACTGGAGGGTGAAGCTTCTGGGAGGCCCAGGAGCTTCTCCCCGAGCTTTTCCTTGTGGCCCCGGTTAAGCTGCCGCCAGTGCCACCGGTCACACCCAAGGCGGTTTGGAGGGTTTGTTTGTTGGGCGATTGCGGAGGTGGATTTAAGGGAAGTTCTGGTGATTTTATGGTTGATGTTGCTTAGTTTGACTTGATTGATTGCGAATTTAGGGTTGGTTTTGCTTAGTTTGGGAATTTCAGGATTGTTTTTGAGGGCTGACGCACTGGAATTGGAGGAAAGTTGGGTCATGCTTGCGGGATATTGCTGGTCTTGAAAGGATGATTTCGCAATGACTGATGAACATATCCCAAAATCAAAGCCAATACAAAGGCGAATCAAAGGCGATTGATCTCTTGCCGAAGGGTGCCGCATTACTGTCGACAAGCCTGCTGATTCTCTTTGTAAAATTCTGCATCTTTGTTGTCGAACTGTCTGTGCATCCAGCAAAAGCGCAGATCTATTCTCTCTGCGTGTGCGGAAGCCTTTCTTTTTCGTCTAAGCATTGTCATCAAGTGTTTTCATTTCCCATAGTTTCCCATCAAAACGTTCTTAAAGGATCCTCAAGGGACATTTTCCATGTCTTCCATGGTATTCCATGGTTTTCCCAGTTCAGAGAAATCCAGACACCGGAAGACACGTCATCTTCCCATCGAAGCTCGCAGGCCTTGGAGTCGCGAAACACGGTGACACCGCCGCGACGCGGTGCCTTGGATGGCTGACCCAACATGGTGATTTTTCATGAGAAATCATGATAAACAATCAATGACGTTGATGAGAAAATTTTGGTAAAAATCCGATGACAATGACAAACATCATTTGCCTGAAATTATGGGATCAACATGGATTAGCCCAAATAAAGAATTGATAAACCAATATACTATATATATTTTGATAGACCATCAGTAATAACAAAGATTGGTAACCATTGATAAAGCATCGGAATATGGGGCAATTGGCTGGGCTGGCACCTTCTATTTTCAGGGCCAAGTAAGATGGTTGATGATAATGGCATTAACGGGATGGCTTGCCGCTAAGGATGATTAGCCGGTGTACTAATCGGAACCCTGACTTAACAATCTGGGTTTTATTGGTCTCCCGTGCCTCACGTTGTGACCCGTCTTTTTGCTTGAGAGCAACCACCCTTTCAAGCCAGTATTTTTATTTTTTGCACCCTGCATTCATGAAAAAGTGGGTGATAATCTCATAGTTTGCGCAGGTAAAGAATTGTTCTTTTGAAGCCTTCCTTTGGAGCAGTTGTTAAATCGTGTTAAATGGTGAGTCAAAGCATGTTTCCTGCTGCAGCAGGATGGTCATTCCTCATCCGGGTATGGTCATACCCAGGTCTTTGGGTTCGATTCAAAGATTGGCTGCAGCGAAGGGGGCTAGGGAGGACTCAGGGTGGGGTAGCTGGGTATCCGCAGACGGCGGCTTCACATGGGTTTGTCTGGTTTTATGATCATGTTCCGTATTGAAATCACCATAAAATGTGCCTATACTCCACTTTCAGGCAGCACCCTCGCATCAGATGCCACATCATGTTCTTTTCCCTTTCCATGGTAGGTCGCCCCAACCAGACAGTCAACCAGCCACAAAGTCCTGGAAGAAACCGCGAATTGGGTAGTGACCTGGACCAAACTCCGGTAGCAATCCAATTTGGCAGTAGATATTTCCTGTGATGCTATACTTATGGATCAAGTGTTGCCATATACTTCATTCTAACATAATTTTACAAATAATCTGTGTATCCATCTGTATACGGATATATGCTGAACTGGTTTATATTGTATTAGGAATTTACTGCCCAACCTTCACTGATGATCAGGAGAGAGACGACCAGCCTCGCAAGACACTGGTAGGCCGGGCCCAGGTGAATTTCGGGAAAATGGTGAAAACTTGCCATAATGATGGTTATTTGTGAAAAGAGATATCTAATCAGTCTATCTATCTATCTGTCTATCTATCTATCTGTCTATCTGTCTATCTATCTATCTATCTTTCTATCTATCAATCTATCTATCAATCTATCTATCAATCTGTCTATCCATCCATACGTACGTACGTACGTACATACATACATACATACATCCATACATCCATACATACATACATACATACATACATATGTTCATTGATACTTTCTAATTTTATAGCAAGTAATATTTAAAACATCATTTTCATACATCATTATACAATATATTTTTGATTTAATACGATAGAAATTATCATGCAGATTTTCATGTCTTTTTAAAATAGAATGAAACAATGTAACACATTGTAATTCAATATAATTAAATATTGCGAAATACAACATTTTCTAATACTAATTTTCATATAATGTACTTTAATATCATTTAAGCTAACGAAATAACTTATTAAAATATATAATATTATCTAATTTGATCAAATAAACTATAAGATGTATTTAGTATGATTTAATTTAGTATATATATATATGTACATGTACATATTGTATTTATTATATATGTATATATGGATTCGGGGGGGCTACCCCGGGACCATAGGTTTCAATGCTAACAAGCGATGTGGTATCCATTTAAGGAAACTTCCACTTTTTTCACACGTCATTTAAATGGGAAACTAATGTGGCAATACGATGTAACTGGGTGATTTTTCCATTGCCATATTTGATTAGCGGGTAGATGCTTGACTGATGAGATGCTGGATTTGCAGCTCCTACTCGGTGTTAGATGATTCCGAGTGACTTTGCCATATTATATATTTCGTGGGATGAGCCGAAGCATTCGTTTCCAGAAGCAACAAATTCAACCCAGTTTCAGTATGTGAAAAAAACATGTGCAGTAGCTTAAAGCAAACCTTTTGTCAGATTGGATCCAAACCTTGTTTTCCCGACACGGCCCTCCAAAGGCTTTGATCGGGAAAAATCCGCAAGTGAGTCCCTTTGCCCTGCGCTTGTTTGTGCGAAAAACCTTGGAAAACCTGGCAGTGCGGACCTTGATCTGGAATGCAAATTTCTTCGTATTTTTTTGGGGGTTTAACCATCAGCATACCATCAGCAAAAGCTGGTTTGACAATCAAATCATGTGGTTTAATCATCAAACGTTGGGGCTGAAGATGTTTTCATTATCATGAAGGGACTGCGTCCAGTTTGAACAAAATTGAATAGGGCCTGGCCTCGTTTCAAATCCATCATATCCATTGTCGTTTTGTCCTTCCATAGCAGTTGAGGAACAACAAATCACGGGGATGGGGGCATCAGTTTCTTTCGCTGGAGCTGAAGCTGTTGGCTCCAAGAAACGGTGGAAGGGCAGCAATGGAGGACTTGAGCCCAACATATTTGAAACTGGGTTTCGAATGGATCTTCTTTCGATAAAGTCTAATAAAGATAATTTAATCATTGTGTCGGCTCTTGGCCGCCACAGCTGGGAAGGTTGACGCTTCCACTTGTTGTACTTGTTGCGTTTGTACTTGTTTTTTCTTGTTTGTATTCGTGATCATATGATCATATGGCTGCATGGTTTGGCCTCGTCCACAATCTAACACTTTGACCCAAGTCCATGTCCTTTGTTTTCAAAATAAGTCATCCCAGCATGTCTCAAAACCCTCGAACACCAACAAGTGATTGAGAGGCTGTAGGGCCATCCGCATTGGAACCCTTCCAGGCTTGTTGGCCCACCTTGATTTTGGTCTCAGGAAATTTTTGTTGGGTGGCGGCTATGCTGCACTACTGGGAGCCCCTTGGCCCATAAGTCATGACCTTGGCTTGGCCGACATGCTGAATACAATGTTCTAATTAGGCTGATAATATCTTATAATTCTTTTTTGCCCCATTCAAGTGGCAGGCCAAACTGGAAAGTGGTGCATATCTAAACCCCAGCCTTGACATCTTTTCACTGGTAAGGGCCCATTTTTTGATCATCTGGTCGCGAGGTTTTTGTAGCTCCACCTAGGTGAATTATGCGTCATTGGCTGGAAAGATTGGCGCCCCAAATGCGCAAATCTCGAAGGTCTACCCCAGTCCTGTGACCCCAGCAGGATTTGCTTTCAGAATCCCGGCAACCAGTTTGGGGGACTTCATTGTGGGTTTCCTGAGATGTGTTGGCAATTCATCATTTGGAAGTGTTGGGATGCCGCTGAAGGATTTTTCTGTGGCAAAACAGGGCTGAACTGGTCATTTTGATTAGACTGCAGCGGCTGAATGGCTCAGAAGAACATTCTATTTTTACCTTGAGACTGTCCTGGACTGTGTACTCAGCAAAATTCAGTAAACACCATCCATCATCTCATTGTTCCTGAAAGTCGCCGAGCATCGCCATGAAATCCCCAGGTGCCCATGGCCCCATTGCGCACCGAGGCATTTGGGGTCCCATCTTCCTCCTACAGGGCGCCGGTGTTGCAGCGCTGCTATCCGATGCTTTGCCGGTGGAGGTGATGAGAGCGGTGTTCCCCTACTGGTTCGGCACGTGGATCTGGCAGAATTGACACCTGGAGGAAAAAGACATAGGGATATAAAGTGGCACAACATTTCACAAAGTGGTGCCCCAGTTCGTTAGCTGAGTTGGTGAGCATAACTCCAATAACTTGGGTTTGCGGGGTATATAACTAGAGGTGATGGGGTTCACAAACCAACTTTTGACTGGGTGGACATCTAGGGATGTTTCAAACATATGGGGAATTTAGCAACAGTCATGTGATGCAGCAATGATGATGGATGGTTTTGTCCCCAGTAGAGTTGGGTCATACGGACGCTTCTATTTTTATTTTTTTAATGGTGTTTCTTGAGCAGTCTGGGACCTTGCTGAAGACCAGCAAGATGTAACGTGATGATTACATCATGGTAACATGATGATGTTTACATGATGGCAACAGAGAAAATGCAGAAGTGTAGGGCTTGTTATCACAATGTTCGCAGTGATCTTGTGGGTTTGGTTGGTTACACACTTCGAAAGCAGCTCCTGCGGGGGAAAAATTGGCTATCCACATGGCCCATGGAGGAGAAACATGTTCTGATATTTTCTTGAAAATCAATCTGACCTTGTTTGACTAGTGGCTCTTATCCCCGGATGTCTTGCTTGCTCCTCCAGGTAATAGAGATAATAATCACCTTCCACGAAACAGATGTGAAACCGGAACATGATTTTCCGAGCGGACGTGGCAATGAATATGGGTTCCATGCATTTCCATGCTATTTTTTCAGAGATTTGGAGCTCAATTTCTCCGTTTTTTATGGGGCAAACATGTGTACTTTTTTCATCGGGTCCTGGTGCTACACAATCTCAAATCAGTTACCGTATGATAAAAATCCCTTCGCCCTAAAATTAAACGTCCCCCCCTTACCCCCCCAAATAAAAAACTTATGGGTAGTTTTTTTTTGGGGGGTGCATTTGATATTTGGAGGAGAAGTTGGCCCCTAATATGACATATAAGATATATATAAAATCAAAACCTTAATCAAACATTTTTTTAAAATTTCAACATCGGTTAAAGTCCTTTCTAAATCTGATTAGAATATTCCCCAAAATTGGATTTTGAAGCTTTCCCCTAATATTGAATTTAAAGCTCTATTTCGAAAAACTAAAATTTTCGATGTCAAAATCGATTGATTTCTCTTCTAAGTCTAATTAGAAATATTAAAATATTGCCAAAAATTGGATTTCGAAGCTTTCCCCTAACATGAAATTTAAAACCTTAATATTAAAAAAAACTATTTAAAAAAAATCAAAATCGATGAAAGTCCTTTCTAAATCTAATTAAGATTATTGCTAGAAATTGGATTTGGAAACTTTCCCCTAATATTAAATTTAAAACCTGATTTTTTTTAACCTTATTAAGATATTGTCAAACATTGGAATTCGATGCTTTCCCCTAATAGTAAGTTAAACAACTTAATTTAAACAAATAAAATGTTCGATTTTAACAAACGGACCCTAGCAAAAAAAAACACCCCGGGGTTACTGTAGCTAGTTTTTATATGTTTTATTATTAAGGTGGTAATTAGAAGCTTTAAATGGACCTTCATTTTTTAACTTCATTTTTTTTGTTTCCTAAAGGGGATTAATTGAAAGTCGAATAGACCAATCTGAAATTTGCCAAACCAAATTATCTGGGGTATTTTTTCTGTTTTAGTGGAGTTTGAGTAATAGGGAGAAAGGGTTACAAAGTAATTAATGCAACCTTTGCCAGCCCAAAACCGCAAAAACAAGTTAAGTCTTGCCCTTTGGAGCTTGTTTTGTTCACCAAATCTAAGGGTTTGATGATTGAATCTGAGTCAACCTTGGGTGGGTACTCTTGTAACTTTACTGCTGTACTGTAGCATCTTTGGCTGTAAACGATAAAATGTAGTATCTTATATTGTCTTGTATTATATATAATTACAACCCAATGAGGTAAAAACATTGCCTTTTTTTCCACGGGCCGTCTAAGATTTAAACAACACATCCGCCGCTGGGATACCCCTAGGTTGGCAGGCCTGCTTTGTCTCGTTGCCACTGGCTGACAAGAGCCGGAACCTCGACCTGGACCTGCTCGGCGGAGCATGATGACACAATGGGGTGCAACAATATGGGGGTTTCCGTAAATTTGGATACCCCAAAATGGTTGTTTTGGGGGTACCACCATTTCAGGAAACCTCCATGTTATATATATATATATATATTTACAAGATGGTATACGTAATGGCGTATAACAATGACATTGTTTATTGTTGGTGATGAGTGGTGAAAACGCACGTGGTTTTTTTGTGTCTCCGATTTCTTCATTATTCCATCACACACATGCGATGATGATACGGCATTCATTGAGCGGTGGGGATTATTATCGTCAATTGAACCAGTGGTGTGGAATCCGACTATATTGCTTTGGGAAATTCCATGTGCTAGCCTCTACAGGTATATGTAATATGGTAGTGCGTTACGTCCCAGTGAGCCAACAGCAACACAGCGGTACAGGCAATCCGCCGTAAATGTCGAAAGTTTTCTTCCTGGATCCGCTGTCTGCACATCTAGGATCATGTTGGTGTATTGATGTTTACCCTTTGGCAATGAACCATGGCTATGGAAAATGGCTCATTTATAGACATTTATAGAATATTTTTGATGATTAACTTATTAGAAATGGTGATGTTCCATATCAATTAACATTTAACAAGATGTTTAATTGAGGTATGCCTCTTAAAAAAAGCTGCCAGCTAGAGCTCGACCTCCGGCATTTTCACATCCTGGTTGGTGCCTCATGTCCCAAAATTGGATTGGGGGAAATTTCAGGACAGCCGGAGAGCTTTTAATTGCCTTTAATGTCCCAGTGGCTTCCGCGGGGGTCGAAATACCTAGTCTTGTTCCCCGAAACACCGACCAAAACATAGATTTAAACCGCGCAGGGGGTTCACAGGACGGTATTTTCAACATTGAAAGTCACAATCCCTTGCGCCTGTTAGCGAAAATTGTGTTTTTTATTTCTCCAAAATCGGCATGATTCTCTGAAAAAATTGCGTTGTACCAAAGTTTTGGAACCCCTTGTCGGTCAACTTCACTTTTTCCCCTCAGATTTTCCCTGTGTTGCTTTTTGCGCCATTGCCATTGCCGCACATAGGCCATCCGATCCTTTTTGATCTTGCCTTTCACTCCGGTATGAATGGCCGATGGAAACTTAACTTTGCTTTTTTTCCACGCGCAATCGATACCACCTGTGTGCAGTTATCTTCTGCATGAAGATAGTTAGTGCAAGAAAAGATCTTGTTAATGTAGCGTGAAGATAGTTAGCAAGTGCAAGAGAAGATATTTTTAACGCCGCATGAAGATAGTTAGCAAGTGCAAGAGAAGATCTTGTCAACGTAGCATGAAGATAGTTAGTAAGCACAAGTGAAGATCTTGGTAACTTAGCATGAAGATAGCGCGCATGTGGACATGAACGTCATTAACCCACCTGACCCCCACCTCCCACCCCTGCCCCCACCCTGTTGTATGCAAGTGTTATTAACGTAGGGTGAAGACAGTTAGCAAGTGCAGGAGAAGATCTTGGTCACGTAACATGAAGATAGTGCGCATGTGAACATGAACGTTAATAGCCCACCCCACCCCCACACCCCCGACTCCAGCAAAAACAATGAAAAATCTTGTCCGGTTTCCCCGGCACCAGCCAAAACATGGATTTTATATGTTCTTTTTTTAAAATAAAGATCCTTCATAGGTGTTAAATCATGTTAAATCATGGCTTTTCACAGGTTTGTATCCCCCATGGAATGGAGCTCACCATGGGTGTCCCTTTATATGGGGCGATGTCGCGCTTGCAACTTTTTTATGTGCTCGCTTGTGACTCCAATATGTGTTCGCTTGTAACTCCAAAATCATCATCAGCGTCATCATCATCAGCGACATCAGATTTTCTTCTTCATGATCATCATGATCTTTCTGGTCATCATGATCATCATGATCATCATGACCATCAGGATCACCATGATCACCATGATCACCATGATCACCATGATCATCACGATCACCACGATCACCACGATCGCCAGGACCACCATGACCACCATGACCACCATGATCAGCATGATCAGCATGATCACCACGATCGCCATGACCACCATGACCACCATGATCACCATGATCACATTGATCGCCATGATCACCATGATCACCATGATCACCATGATCGCCATGATCGCCATGATCGCCATGATCACCAACACCAACAGCATCATCGGCAACATCATCAACAACAACAGCAACAATGACGACAACAACAACAACAACAATAACAAGAACAAGAACAAGAACAAGAACAACAACAACAAAAACAAAAATACAATTACCCCGTGAAGTCCTCTTGTGTCTTCAATATTCTAGACCCTATTAAAATGACCCCGTTGTTGTTTCTAACCCCCCTCCCCGAACAACCATGTTGTCCACGGGGTCTTTGTGATAGTGTCTTGAAGGCCCCCCCAAATAACAACACCAACACAACAACAATAAGGACAGGTTGGACTCTAATTTAGGTCATCTTCATCAAAACTTGGCAATGCACTTCGTTCATTTTTCTTGTTGACGGAGCTCAGTTTGGGCCTTCTTTGGGCCCAGGCCGTCTCATTGGGACAGAAAAAAGAAAGGGCTGGAAATGTTGATTGCCCAAGTTTTCGACAATAACCTGTGTTCCGCCATGGCCATGACATGCTCCTTGCTTTCGTCAATCATTCAGCATCACCATTGTATATTCCTTGGGATCAGCACCCAAAAGTTGGAGAATGGAGTGCTCAAGACTTGCGTGCATAGCAGGAAAACAGAGTGTAGCTTGCCGCCGCCGCGTTGACCACAAGTGTTCACTGACTTAGTCTAGATCTAGGGCCCCCTGAATACCGGAGATTGCTACCTCAACCCCCCCCGAGAACAACCACGGGGGCTTAGTCTTTTTGTCTAGAATGTTCAAGAGGCTGGCCCCCAATGATCCCCATGCTCAGAAACCAGCACCAAGAAAAAAACATTTTGGTCTTCAATCTCGCAGGATCTGGAAAATGGAACTTTGACTCATCTAGGTACAAGGCAAGGACATGCAACAACAGAGACTTGCATCTTGCCTGGAACCACAACTCTAGGGTGACACAATACCACACACATGGACCCCCCCCCCGAGAACAAGTCCTTTTGTCTAGAATATTCAAGAGGCTGGCCCCCAGAGATCCTAATGCTCAGAAACCAGCACCAAGAACATTCATATTGTTCTTCCATCTCGAAGAATCTGGAAGATGGAAATTTGACTCATCTAGATACAAGGCAAGGGAATGAAACAACAGAGACTTGCATCTTGCCTGGAGCCACAACTCTAGGGTGGCACAGTACCACACACATCGACCCCCCCACCCCGCGAACAAGTCTTTTTGCCTAGAATATTTCAGAGGCTGGCCCCCAGAGATCCCAATGCTCAGAAACCAGCACCAAGAACAAACATTTTGTTCTTCAGTCTCGCAGAATCTGGAAAATGGAAAATTCTTCCATTCTTCAATTGTGAAGAAAGTTCAATAAAACATAGGAAAAACATGTGGAAAAATGGAAAAACATCTTCGCCACAGCATTCCTGTCGAAATCACAAGTTCTGCTTCCTGGTTGTACTTCCATGATACAGAAAGGAAAAAATAGAGAAACACAAATGCCATGGCTTGGCACATTATATCTTGCTTGGATCAAATCCTCTGCTTTGCCACAAAACTTTTCAAAAACACACCCGAACAACACTAGTCCACGGGGCCTTTGTAATCTCGTCTTCAAGGCTATTTCTGGTTGTTTCCACGGGGGCTTTGTTTTTGTGTCTTCCAACAACAACAAGAACAACAACAACCACCAACCACCGACCACCGATCACCGACCACCGACCACCGACCACTGACAACCGACAACCCACCACCACAACAACAACAACAACAACAACAACAACCCACCACCACCAACCACCAACCACCAACCACCAATCACCACCCAACCACCGCCGACAACCGACAACCGACAACCGACAACCGACAACGACAACGACAACGACAACGACAACCACAACCACAACCACAACCACAACCACAAGAACAACAAGAACAGCAAGAACAAGAACAACAACGACAACGACGACAACAACAACAACAACAAGAACAAGAACAAGAACAATAACAAGAACAAGAACAAGAACAAGAACAACAACAACAACGACAACGACAACGACAACGACAACAACAACGACAACGACAACAACAACAACAACAACGACAACGACAACGACAACGACAACGACAACGACAACGACAACGACAGCCACAACAACAACAACAACAACAACCAACAACAACAACCAACAACAACCAACAACAACCAACAACAACCAACAACAACAACAACAACAACAACAACCAACAACCAACAACAACAACAACACCAACAACACCAACACCAACACCAACACCAACACCAACACCACGACCACCACCAGCAGCAGCAGCAGCAACAGCAACAACAGCAACAGAAGCAGCAACAGCAACAACAACCACAACAACAACAACAGCAACAACAGCCACAACAACAACAACAGCAACAGCAACAGCAACAGCAACAGCAACAGCAGCAACAGCAGCAACAGCAGCAACAGCAGCAACAGCAGCAACAGCAGCAACAGCAGCAACAGCAACAGGAACAGCAACAGCAACAGCAACAGGAACAGCAACAGCAACAGCAACAGCAACAGCCACAACGACGACGACGACGACGACGACGACGACGACGACGACGACGTTGACGACGTCGACAACGTTGACAACGTTGACAACGTCAACGTCAACGTCAACAACAACAACAACGACAACGACAACGACAACGACAACGACAACGACATCGACATCGACATCGACAACAAACACATACCATCTTCAGCATCATCATCATCAACATCACCACCACCACCACCACCATCATCATCATCATCATATCATCAGCAGCACCATCCTCGTTATCATCATCATGATCA